GTAGAGTAGTATTAGTATTAGCTGTAGTCGTAGCAGTAGTAGTAGTCGTAGTAGTAGTAGTAGTAGTAGTAGTAGTAGTAGTAGTCGTAGTAGTAGTAGTAGTAGTAGTAGTAGTAGTAGTAGTCGTAGTAGTAGTCGTAGTAATAATAATACTAATCGAGATTCCGACTGATTCTTGGTGAGACAGTTATTTTCCGATTCCTAAGGACGCCGATTGATCCCTATCAGTTCGTATTGATTCGAAGTGGTTCCTATCTAATCTGCTGATCTTTATTGATTTTGACTGGCTCCAATGGGTTCCTGTTGACCGCAATGGTTTGGCGTTTTTTGTTTCCGATCGATCGATTTCTATTGGTTCCAACTTATTCGTCTGCATTCTTGATGGTTCCGATTGGTTTCCATCAGTTCCTATTGATTCCGCTTGATCCCATGGATTCTGATTGATTTTCATTGCTTCCTACGACTTAATCCCGATTGATTGAAACGGCCTCCTGTCAGTGCCGCCGATTTGGGGCGCTCCTCATGGTGCTCGGGTTCGCTTGGAGGCCTATGTGGCGCTCTTGGGGCCCTCTGGGGGCCGTCGTAGGAGGAGGCCCTTGAGGGGGTCTTTGAGCCGCTTGGGGGCTTCTTAGAAGCCTTCTTGGCTGTCTGAGAGCGACCCTGGCCCGCCGTCGGAAGTCGTCTTGGGCGCCTCGCTGCCGTCTGTGAGCACTCTGGGGGCGCTTCAGGGCCGTCGTGGAGGCTATTTTTGCCGTCTTGGGGACCTATGGGGCCGTCTTGGGACCCTCTTGGGACCGTCTTCGAAGCCTCTTGGGCCGTCATAGGGCCATCTTGGAGGCCTCTGGGGCGACCTTGGGGGTTTGTGGGGCCGTCGGAAGGCCGAAAAGAATGAAGCGCCCAAATCCGTAAGGTCCAGGGCCTCTTCGCGCCTTTTTTGGAGGGCATTTTGGGCCATCTGTGGCGCATCTTGAGCCACGTGGGAAGTATCTGGCCATCTTGGGCTCTCTGACCACCGGGACTCTCTCTCGCTCTCGCTTTCGCTCGTTGTCGTCGTTGTCGTCGCCGTCGTCGTCGTCGTCGTCGCCGTCGTCGACGTCGTCGTCGTCGTCGTGGTCGGTCCCTTGTCCATCCCTCTTTGGGTCGGGTTGCCGCTGATCAGCGGTGCCGCTTGCCAGGCCGACGGTCCGCGGCCGCCTCGCCGCTTGCCGGGGCACAGCCTGCAGGGAAGAAAGGTATACCCCCCAAAAGGGGTATGATCGAAGATGAAGAGGGCGGGTATCGAGGGTTTGGGAAATACGCGTTAACGGACACTTGAGCAGATAAGAGCGATCAGTCTTGACATGATTGTTGTTGTTTATTTTCTTGGTTTCGTTGTTGTAGTTGTTGTTGTTGTTGTTGTTGTTGTTGTTGTTGTTGTTGTTGTTGATATTATTGTCACTGTCCTTATTCGCGTTACCATTCGGTATATTCGTTTTTTTCCACAAAGGTTTTGTCTTTATCATTTGTTGTTGTTGTTGTTGTTGTTGTTGTTGTTGTTGATGTTGTGATTTTTGCTGTTGTTCTCGTTCTTGTCGTCGTCGTCGCCGTCGTTGCTATTGTTGTTGTTGCTGTTGTTATTTGTTGTTGTTGTCCTTAATCGACTGTGGTTTTTGATGGTTCTCACTGTTCATGGCTGTTGTTGCTCGCGAGGACGTTACTGTTCACGAGGGCGCGGGGCGCCCTTCTGTGGAGGCCTCTTGGAGGCCTCCTGGGGCGTCTTTGGGAGCTTCTCGGGCCGTCTTGGAGCCATCTCAGGGCGTCTTGAGGGCCGCTGTCCTTGCGCTGTTGGGAGCCCGTCCAGGGCCCGAGCACGGGCCGCCAGGCCCCAGGGGATCCGCAGACGCCGACATGGCAGAGCTTGCCTCTGTAGGGGTCCTGGCAGATTCATACTGTTAGGTTAGGTTTGCCGCCGATTTTCGCCGCACGCCCGGGTGCCCGGGTGCCCGGGCGTGCCCGGGTGCCCGGGCGTGCCCGGGGGTGCCCGGGGTGCCAGGGCCGTCGTGGAGCCAACTTGGGCCGCGGTCTTGGATCTCTCTTGGGTCGCCTTGGTGCCTTTGGGGTGAGAGACTGAAGAGCAACACCTTCAAAAGCCATCGTCACAAATTATTCGTGCATCTCTGGGCCCTCTGCAGAGGCCTCTGGGGGGCCTGTTGGGGCGTCTTGGGAGCTTCGTGGACCGACTTGGGTCCATCTTAGGGCGTCTTGGAGGCCTCTGGGGCCGTCGTGGAGCCAATTTAGGCCGTCTCGGAGTCGTCTTGGACCTCTCCTGGGCCATCTTGGAAGTCTCTTGGGCCGCTTTGGGCGCCTCTTGGGGCTCTTTTGGGCGGTCTTGGATCTCTTGGTGCCCTCGCGATGCGAAACTGAAGACACACTTTCAATAGCCATCGCAACTCAATGGTTTTTGCTTCTTTGGGCCCTCTGAAGGGGGCCTCTTGGAGGCCTCTTGTAAGCCTCTTTCACCGTCCCGGACCCATTTTAGGACGGTGTCTTGGGGGCCTCTGGGCGGCGGCGGCCGCGGCGGTGGCGACGGCGGCGACGACGACGAACGACGACGGCGGCGACGACGACGACGGCCGGGACCACGGCCTGGTCTGCCTTATTATTGTGGTTATTGGTACTGCGACTCGACTATTACTACCACTACTACTACTGCTGCTGCTGCTGCTGCTGCTGCTACTGCTTCTGCTACTATCACTACTGCTACCACTCCTACTTCAACTACTACTGCGACGACTACTACTACTACTACTACTACTACTACTACTACTACTACTACCACCACCACTACTACTACTACTACTACTACTACTACTACTACTACTACTACTACCACTACCACTACCACTACCACTACCACTACCACTACCACTACCACTACCACTACCACTACTACTGCTGCTACTACTACTCCTACAGCTGCAGCTGCTACTACTACTACTACTACTACCACGACTACTACTACTACTACTTCTACTACTACTAATATTATTTGTAGTAGTAGTAGTAGTAGTAGTACTACTACTACTACTACGCCTAGTCTTACTAATGTTACTACTGCTACTGTGACGACGACGACTATTACTACTACTACTACTACTACTACTACTACTACTACTATTAGTACTTTTACTACTACTACTACTACTACTACTACTGCTACTGCTACTGCTACTGCTACTGCTACTGCTACTACTACTACTACTACTACTTCGAGTACTACTGTTACTACCAGTGCTTCTCCTCCTCCCCTTCTCGTTTTACTACTACTACTACTACTACGACTACGACTACTACTACTACTACTACCACTACTACTAAATCTACCACTGCTACAACGAATTATTTTTAGTACCACCACCGCTACTACTACTACTACTACTACTACTACTACTACTGCTACTGCTACTGCTACTACTACTGCTGCTGCTGCTACTACTACTACTACTACAACTGCTACTACTACTACTACAACTACTACTACGACGACTATTACTACTACTGCTACTGCTAGTACTACCACCACCACGACTACTACTAGTACTTCAACTTCCATTCCGACTAATACTACTCGTCCTGGTACTAGTACTGCGACTAATTCTATTACTACGGCTACTAATTCTGCCACCGCTACCTTTATTACTGCTACTACTACTACTACTACTACTGCTACCACTACTACCACTAGTACTGCTACTACTACATGTATTGCTGCTACTTTTACCAGTACTACCTTTTACTATCTCTTGCGGTTACTACTAGTAGTACTGCTACCACTTTCTTTACTATTATTATTACGACTAGTAATGCACTTATTACTATGGTTCTTAGTGCGTCTGCTACTACTACTACTACTTCTTTTTCTACTACAACTGCTAGCTAGTAGTACTACTACTACTACCGCAAGTCATACTATTTCACTCCTCCTCCTATTGTTTTCTATACTACCACTTTCAGCACCACCATACCACTACGTTTACTACTACTACTACTACTACTACTACTACTACTACTACTACTACTACTACGGTGACTACTACTACTGCTACTGCTACTACTACCTCTACTACTACTACCACTACTACTAGTAGTAGTAGTACTACTACTACTACTACTGCTACTATTACTACTACTAGTACTACTACTACGACTACTACTAAGTAGCAGTACTAATACTAGCTAGTACTAGTACTAGTCCTGGTGCTAGTACTGGTACTCGTAGTAGTAGTGGTAGTACTACTACTATTACTAGTACTCTTTCTATTCTTACTACTGCTACTACCACTGTTATTATTACGACTACTATTAATACTACTACGACTACTACTTTTTCTACTACTACTACTACTACTTTTTCTTCTACTACTACGACTATTACTACTTCTACTTCTACTTCTACTTCTACTTCTACTACTACTTATACTTCTACTTCTTTTTATTATGTTTGTACTTCTACTTCCACTTCCACTTCTACTACTACGACTGCTACTACTTTTATCAATGGTACACTCACTACCACCACTACTAGCAGCACTGCTCTCCCCCGTCTTGTCCGTGTTCTTTTCTCGTCCTTCCTTCTCCATCCCCTCCCCCCCTCTTCCTCGTCCCTCCTTTTTGCTCCTCCTCTTTGCGCCCTCGTCCTTCTTTCTCTCCATCCACACCTCCTCATCCTCCTCCGCCTCCTCCTCCATGTCTTCACAATGTCTACTGCCGGAGGTCTCGACCCATTCCTCGGGGCTGCTTGCTCGCCCTGAATATGTCTCCACGGTCCCGTCGCCCAGCGGGGTCCCTGGGAGGCCAAGAGGCCAAACATAGCCAAACACTTCACTTTTGGTTTGTTCAAGATGTTGGAGGCCTTGGAGACCTTCCCCTGTTCATTGTGACGGCTCCGATGATGACGGCGGCGACGCCGGCGGCGTGGGCGATGCCCGCGGCGCGGTGGCTTGCGGCGGCGCTGCCGGCAGGAGCTGCGGGCCCACGGGGGAGACCCCGACGCGCCCGACAGCGGCGTCGTGCCCAAGGCGGTGCCGCCCCACAGGGCGCCGATGAGTCGTCGCCGCCGTCACCGTCGCCGTCGTCGTCGTCGTCGTCGTCGTCGTCGTCGTCGTCGCCGTCGTCGTCGTCGTCGTGGTTGTTGTCGTCGTCGGCGTCGTCGTCGTCGGCGTCGTCGTCGTCGTCGTCGTCGTCGTCGTCGCCGCCGCCGCCGCCGCCGCCGCCGTCGCCGCCGCCGCCGCCGCCGCCGCCGCCGTCGCCGGTGTCGTCGTCGTCGTCGTCGTCGTCGTCGTCGTCGTCGTCGTCGTCGTCGTCATCCGCAGTAATTTTTGTTCAAGTTTCGGCCCGCTCGGGCTGAGACTAGCGCCTACGGCATCGCGCGAAGTCGGGAGGGCGCTGGCCGCGGCGGTGAAGCAGTCCGTCGGCAAGGTCCAGGTTGCGGGCGGGCCCTGCGGAGGCGCTGATGCCAGGAGGAAGGCTCCCAGCGGGCGGGGCCTGGTGGCAGGGCGCGGCGTACTGGCCGCACGGCCCGTCCGCATTTGGCCAGGTCCCCATCCTGGGGGTCGTGCTCCACCAGCGGGGGCAGGCGCAAGACTGGGCGCAGGGTGAGGCGCCGTGGCAGGGCGCGAAGGAGTCGAAGAACGAGTTCGGATTGCAGGCCAGACTGTTCGAGGATCTTGTGAGGAGCAGATCGGGGTTTGCCGCGGGTGACGGGCTTCCAGGAGCCGCAAGGTGTCTGTGAGGCGCAGGCGGCGCCGTGCAGGACACAGAAACAAAAGGCCGAACAGTAGCTTGCCAATCAGAGGAAGCGGTGGCAGGAGGCGGAGGCCGAGAAGACCCTCGACGACGAGCGCGCTTTCCTGGACGAGGCCATGGCTATGGCGGAAGCTGGGGCCGACTTCGGGAGCGAGGAGGTGGAGGAGAGCTACGACGGCAGCTCCGAGGACAGCGTCCAGGAGAGCGCGCAGCTTTCCCACTCGTTGGAGGCGCTGGCCGAGCGGACGGGGGGCAGTCAGTTGGAGGTGGAGGGCGACCTGGCGGGGCCGGAAGTCGAGGAGGGGCCCCAGGATGCGGCCTGGTCGGCTGTGGGGAAGGCCGGTGCGCGGGAGTCCGAGCGCTCGCTGGAGGAGCTGGGCCACGGCGCCGCCCAGATGCAGGCCGTCCTGGACGAGGTGGCCGTCCAGGGCTCGTGGCGGGCTCGCGCCTGGCCCTGGTGTCGATGGGGTGGGGCGACGAGTGCATCAAGCGGGTGGGGCCCAGCATGGTGCACGAGCAGCAGGCGAAGCTGAGGCGGGGAGCGCTCGACGAGTGCGGCGAGGACGGCAAGGGCAAGGGCAAGAAGGAGTGCGAGGAGGCCTGTGCCCAGACCGAGGCGCGGGCAGCGGCGGACGGCCGCCGTTGCCAGCCGACGCCGCGGCAGCAGGCGCTCGACGGGCGCTGCATGGACAGGAAGGGCAAAAACGCTCGGGCCCGCGGGCAGGAGGGGCGACCGCTGCTGAGCTGGCGGGATGGTCCGCTGGTGGCCTGGATGGCGGCAGGTTCGGGGTTACCCTCTCAAGCCCGCCCTGTCATGCTGTGCCTCCGCCCCGGGGCTGTTTTTCGGCGTGCGGAGGGGTCAGCAACCTGCGCAGGACGGTAAAACGATGGGTGCGCGCGCGCGCGCGCTGGTCGTCGTCGGCGTCGTCGTCGTCGGCGCCGTCGTCGTCGGCGTCGTCGTCTTCGTCTTCGTCGTCGTCATCGTCGTCGTCGGCGTCGTCGTCGTCGGCCTCGTCGGCGTCGTCGTCGTCGTCGTCGTCGGCGTCTAGGGTGTCGGCCTCACCAGCCAGCGAGCGCACCATTACGCGCATCGGCCGCGCTGCTTCCAAGGCCTCCGACCTCCAGACTCAGAATTCCTCCTTCGCGGATCCAGGAGATCGTTTTTTCTTGCCCGGGCGATAGCGGGCGTTGCCACGTGGGAGGGGGAAGGGGGCGGGGAACCGGTAATGTTACGTTTCGCGCCGGCGCCTTTTGGGAATGCCCAGGGGCAACCAAAGCCAACGTTACCCGGGGGTGGGGGGAGGGCGGCGGCCAGGGCTGGTAACGGCCGTTACCGCGAAAAGATGTATACACGCCTTCCATGTTTGAGAATTGAATTCGTTTGAAGCTTTTTGGTCCGTTTCGGGGCCTTCGGAGGCTGTCGGGGATCTCCAGGGACCTCCAGGGGCCTACAGGGAACTCTCGGGACTCAGACCGGCGACGGCGCAGGTTCTCTTCACGGCGGCCCTTCCGAAGGTCTTCCATGGCGCTCCTCGTGGATCCGTGGCCAGAGCTGAGGCTCCTCCTCGCCCTCGGGGCGCCCAGGTGTCGCTTCCGAGCCCTCCTGCGTCCACGCCCAGCGCTCCTCCCTCGGGGATCGAGGGTCGAGGTTTCGGGGTGTGCTGCCTGCCTGCCGCCAGCCCGGCACCTCCGGGGACGCCCGGAGGCCTCCAGGGGCCGAGGCCCGCGGGCGCTTTCCACCATCGCACGGGTGCTTGCTTTGCTGTGGCTCTTCAAGTTCGGCCTCGCGGGGGCCCTCTTCCTTCTCCTGCCCCCCCTCTGCGCTTCAGCAATCTGAGTGCTACTCTCCTCTCTCCACCTGGTGGCGTCCAGGAAATGGCCGGCCCCCTCCGCGTACGGGCTTTTTACACAGCATTCCTCCCGGGAAACGGATTTTCGCTTGGGTTTTTTTTTGAAATGCTGTTATCGTTTGCGCGCTGGCATCATGTCCGGGCTGCCGCTGGTTCCGAATTGTGCTCCCGCTGCAGCGCTGGCCTCATTTCGGCGCTTCCGCTCGTTCCGAATCGTGTTCCCGCTGCAGCGCTGGCGTCATCATTTCCAACGCCATTCTACGGCTGGTTTTCGGTCCTTCCAAATCGGTCCCCAAATCTAGAAAATGCCCCTCCGAACAAAACCATCAGAAGTGATTACACATTCGGTGTCGATTCGTCGACTTTTTGGGCCGCAGAGGCCCCCCCACCACTTTGGGCGTCGCCACGCCATGCTATGTCAGGTTACGCGCCCTCATTTCAGCGCTTCGCGCTTGGGTTTTGTTGAAGATGCTGCTCTCGCTGAAGCGCTGGCCTCATTTTCGGGCTACGGCTCGTTCCAAATCGTGCTACCGAGCACTGGCCTAATTTCCGCGCTTCCGCTCGTTCCGAATCGTGCTCCCGCTGCAACGCTAGTGTCATTCTTTCCAGCGCCATGCCACGCACGGCATGGTGTTCGGTCCTTCCAAATGGCCTCGAAATGTAAAACATGCCCCGCCCCCGAAAAAGCCATCGGAGGTGATTACATTTCCGGTGTCGATTCGTTGACTTTTTGGGCCGCAGAAGCCCTGTCCCCCTCCCCACTTTGGGCGTCGCCACGCCATGCTATGTCAGGCTACGCGCCCTCATTTCCGCGCTTCCGCACTTGGGTTTTGTTGAAGATGCTGCTCTCGCTGAAGTGCTGGCCTCATTTTCGGGCTACCGCTCGTTCCGAATCTTGCTCCCGCTGCAGCGCTGGCCTCATTTCCGCGCTTCCGCTCGTTCCGAATCGTGTTGCCTCTGCAGCGCTGGCGTCACCATTTCCAGTGCCATGCCACTGCATGGTTTTCGGTCCTTCCAAATGGGCCCCCAAATCAAAGAAATGGTCCCCTGAAAAAGCCATCTGAAGTGATTACACCTGCGGTGTCGATTCGTTGTTTTTTTGGGCCGCAGAAGCCTCTCATTTTTGGGGCGTCGCCAGGCCATGCTATGTCATGCTACGCGTTGACATTCAACAGCATGCTATGCCAAGTAATGCTATGCCATGCTGCGGCATCCGATTGTGCGAACAGAGAGGAGATCTACGCCATGGTAAGGGATGGGAGGGAGGGGTCGGACGACAGATCTGACGCGAGCGCCCCTAGCTTGTCCCCCTCCCTCCTAATTCCCCTCCTCCTGTCCTTGCCCTTCTCCCCCTCCTCTCCCTTCTCCTCCTCATCCTCCTCCTCCTCCTCCTCCTCCTCCTCCTTCTCCTCCTCCTCCTCCTCCTCCTCCTCCCCTCCCCCTCCTCCTCCCCCCCCTCCTCCCCCCCCCGTGCTCCTCCCCCCCCCCCCCCCAGCACCACCCCCCGAACACTACTCCGCGCGGAGGCGAAGCCGCAGGCCAAGGCCAAGGGCGCCGGGAAGGGCGGCCGGCGGGGGCGCCCGCAGAAGAGGACCCCGCGCGCTCCGCCGGCGCCGCCGCCGCCCGGCCGCGGCCCTGGTTCAGTCAGGAAGGAAAGAAGCACACAGACACAACTAATCGTCGATTCCTCAGAAAAGATGGGACAATGTGGTGAGTGGGGGGGGGGAAGAGGAAGACCCAGAAAACATAGATGGGAAAGTCTGGGGAGTCTTTTCATTTGTGTGTGTGTGTGTGTTTATTTGCGCGTCCCAGAGCCCCTTCATTCAGAGGAGGGCGAATTTCAACAGCAGTAGTTTCGGGGCCAGCTTGAGCCTGAGGTGGCCCAGCACCGGTCTCGGCCGGCAGGGCGGGCGGGCAGGTTCGAGGCTTTGTGGTCGGGACGCGTTTTTGCCTTTCTCGCCCTACGGGGCCTGGGGACGGTCAGAGCGGATCCGGGGTGCAAAACTGCGCCAGATGAGCCGCGGGATGGGTCTGGGGAGCGATTTTGAGTGGACTTGGCATCATCCCCCCCCTAGCGACTTTCTTCGGTCCCAACGAGTTCAGACCCCCAGGAGTTCCTGGGACCGGTTCTGAGCTGCCGTTGCCACAACTCGCCCTTCTCCGACCCCTGGACCTCGTCCTCCCCGGACGGCGCGACCGCTGGCGAGCCCCGCCTACGATCCGATTCGGTGCGATTCGATTCGCCGGCTCGGGCTGCGATTCAGATGCGATTCGATTCGGTCCGATTCGCCAGGGATAATTCGCCGGATCCGCTCGCGGCTTTTCGATGTGCGAGACCCGCGGCCTCCTCGGCCTCGTCCTCGGGTCGACCGCTTGCGAGCCCTGCCCCCGGCTGGTCTGATCGGTGCTGGGGGTGCTGGACACCCTGCGTTGGCGAAGTTTGGGTGGCCTAAGGGATCCCTGCTGGGGTTCACATGGCGCCAGATGTCGATCAACTTCTGGACCTCCGTCGATGCTTCCGAGGTCTGGCCTGCAGGAGTGCGTCTAGTCTGAGCCGCGCACAATACAGTCGGGCCGCTGAAGAAGGAACCCTTCTCGTTGGGGAGGGGCTCAGTGTTCCTTCATTGGTTTCCAGTTTGTCTTAGGTTGTCCTTAGATCTTCTATGGGAAATCGAAGATCGAAGTTTAACGTGTGGGAAAAAAGGGGCCTCGGTCCTTATTTAGCAGCCCGCCGCCTTGCGTCGCTTGGAGGCCTTTGTTTTTGCCCTCGCCCGCCACGTTGTTCGTCTGGCCTTCCGCTGAACGCTTCGACCAACGGTCGCTCGCGCCTGACGGCAATCGGGTGCGGCGCTTGCTCTGCGGAGGGGGAGGAGGAGGAGGAGGAGGAGGAGGAGGAGGAGGAGGAGGAGGAGGAGGAGGAGGAGGAGGAGGAGGAGGAGGAGGGAGGGGGAAGGAGGAGGAGAGGAGGAGGAGGAGGAGGAGGAGGACCATTGTACCCAAGACTTATCAACGATATTGCAGTAAACTCTCCCTCTAAAGTCCCTCTTCATAGGCCCCATACAAGGGTTCATCTTCACTGAGGGAAGTGCCCCGTTGGAAGACAACCGTCTGGAATCCTTGAACATTTTCAGAAAAGCATTCCTGGGGCTTCAATCCCGCGAATCACCGTTAGTGTCACGTCTTGACGATCATGAGTCGTGCGAGACCACCATTCCTGGGGCTTCAACACCACGAATCGACTTAACCGTTGCGCCCTGACAGTCCGACACTGCATCAACACATGTTTTCCAGATGTTAACCATGAGAGTCTTTGCAACTGCTGTACAGTGCCGTTTTTAAATACATGCTCCGCGTGCGGATCATGTATAAAACATGCAGGGCGTTAGTATTAAAACAACGATGAGTTCATGCATACATTCATTCATACATTAATCATGTATGAACAAATCCGATAGTTTTATTAAACATCCCATGTATCAAACACTGCCCTGTAAGCTCTTAAAGCGAATCGGCGCGGCGCTAAGGCGAGAACTACATCTGCAAAAGGAACCGCCTTCCGTCCATGAAGCTGTTGCATGTGTTGAATACCAGTGAGTGCGGCGCTAAGGCGAGGGGCACCTTTTGAAAACGACCCGCCCTCCATCCGTGAAGCTGAATCGAATGTGCGTGCGCGCTAAGGCGAGAGCCACATTTTGAAAGCGACCCGCCCGCTATCCGTGAAGCGATTTCAAGTTTCAGGCGCATGCGTGGTGAGGAAGTCTTAGGCGAAACGCCTGGCCCGCCCGCCTTTTCGACCGGCTTCGGGGTGCGACATGGACGAGTTATGTGTAAGGAAGACAAATGGGGGAGGACGACGACGCCGACGCTGAATCCGACGCCGACGCCGACGACGACGAGGAGGAAGACCAGTGTAAGCCCCAGATGCATTAACGATGCTGGAATTCACCCTCCCTCCAAGCTCCCCCTTCATAGGCTCCTGCAAGGGTTTATTTCCCAACCATCCTGTGGTGTTGGGTCCTCGTTTTGAAGAGACGGTGCCCCGCGTCTCCTTCCTCCTCCTCTCCTCCTCCGCCTCCTCTCCCCTCCTATCATCCTCATCGTCATCATCATCATCATCGTCATCATCATCATTATCATCATCATCATCATTATCATCATCATCGTCATCAGCATCAACATCATGGCCGCCATCATAGCCATCATCGTCATCATCACCATCATCGTCGTCATCACCATCATCGTTGTCCTCGTCGCCATCATCGCACGTTTCGTGGCCCCATACGGAGCTCCACCGAAGGTCCCAGTGGGTGTGCCCGCATGCGTCCCGCACGCCCATTTTGGCACACCCCTCACACGTTTCGTGGCCCCATAGGGAGCTCCATTTACGGTCCAAGTGGCGCAGCTCGCATGGCGCCACCGCCCCATTTTGGCACACCCCTCACACGTTTCGTGGCCCCTCAGGGAGCTCCACCTGAGGTCCAAGTGGCGCAGCTCGCATGGCGCCACCGCCCCATTTTGGCACACCCCTCACAGATTTCGTGGCCCCTCAGGGAGCTCCTTTTGGCACACCCCTCACACGTTTCGTGGCCCCATAGGGAGCTCCACCTAAGGTCCACGTGGCGCAGCTCGCATGGCGCCACCGTCCCTTTTTGGCACACCCCTCACACGTTTCGTGGCCCCATAGGGAGCTCCATTTACGGTCCAAGTGGCGCAGCTCGCATGGCGCCACCGCCCCATTTTGGCACACCCCTCACAGATTTCGTGGCCCCTCAGGGAGCTCCACCTGAGGTCCAAGTGGCGCAGCTCGCATGGCGCCACCGCCCCATTTTGGCACACCCCTCACAGATTTCGCGGCCCCTCAGGGAGCTCTTTTTGGCACACCCCTCGCAGATTTCGCGACCCCTCAGGGAGCTCCACCTGAGGTCCAAGTGGCGCAGCTCGCATGGCGCCACCGTCCCTTTCTGGCACACCCCTCACACGTTTCGTGGCCCCATAGGGAGCTCCATTCACGGTCCAAGTGGCGCAGCTCGCGGCGCCGCCGCCCCATTTTGGCACACCCCTCACAGATTTCGCGGCCCCTCAGGGAGCTCCACCTGAGGTCATGGCGCCACCGCCCCATTTTGGCACACCCCTCACACGTTTCGTGGCCCCTCAGGGAGCTGCACCTAAGGTCCCAGTGGTGCAGTTCGCATGGCACCCCTTCACACGTTTCGTGGCCCCACAGGGAGCCCCATCTCTGGCGACCAGCGTGCGTCGCGGGGATTCCGCGCGGCGCTCTGCTCAGCGCCTCGCTCGCCCGTCGTCGCTCTGCCCAGCGGCCGGAGCCTTGCCCGCAATCAGCCGGCCGGCTAGCTCTCTGTGCTCCGCGCAGCGGACGACCTGCGCGCGTCGCTGGGACCCCTCCGCGGCGACCTGCGCGCGTCGCGGGGGCTCCGCGCTGCTCTGCGCCCGCAGCTTTGGATTTTTGGAGCGCGCAGGCAAAGAGGGGGGAAAAGAAGGGGCGGAAGCGGGTGCGATCCCCGTGAGGGGCGTGCCGACTGACATGGGCGTCGCGGCGCGCGGGCGCTGCCGTCGGGGTTCCCGCGGAAGCTGCCTGCGGCGGCCACGCCCAGTGTTACGAGTGTTCGGACAGGCATGCTCGAGCCATTCACATTCATATACATTTACACTAGGCATAACCAAGGTCGCATTCATGCAAATATACTCACTCCCACGCAGACCCATTCACACTCAGACTCTCTCGCGCTCTGGCTCACCCGCGTTCATTCTTTCGTAATCTGACCTATCGTATTCCTTTGCGCTGTGTACCCCGCCATATTTCGGCATACCCCTCATGCGGTTCGTGGCCCCATAGGGAACGCCACCGAAGAAGGTGCTCACAATTGCGGCACTCACAACTGCATATGGTTGGGTCTTTCGCCAGGATTTTTTTATTGATGGAAGTGCCCCGTTGGGAGACAACAGTGTGAAAATCCAGGAGCATGCCAAAGCACCCTTCTCAAGACTTCAACGCCACGGGTCAACCTGACTGTTGCGTTTTGGCGATCCTGAACCGTGGCAGAACATTGTTTCTGGGACTTCACGACCACGAATCAAACTCTTGCACATTTTACCCGCGAGAGTGCGCGGCGCTAAGGCGAGAGCCACATTTTGGAAAGGAGCCACCCTCAACCCGTGAAACCCTTGCACATTTTTAAAACGAATGTGCGCGGCGCTAAAGCGAGAGTTACGTTCTGAAAAGGAACCGCCCTGAATCCGTAAGGGTCTTGCATTTTTGTCAAGCGACCGTGCTTGGCGCTTTGGCGAAAGCCACATCTTGAAAACCACCTGCCTTCAGTCCATGAAGCCCGTGCAATTTTGTCAAACGAATGTGCGCGGCGCTACAGTCGGGGCCCTGAAGAAGGAACCCTTTTGGTTGGGGAGGGGATCCGCGTTCCTTAAAGTGTTTCACAGCTTGCCTCAGGTTTTCCTTATGTTTTCGATCGGAAATCGAAGTTTGTCTTGTGGAAAAAAGGGGCCTCGTTCCTTATTTAGGGTTCCTTAGGTCAACGCCCCGACTGTAAGTGATCAGGAATTCTCATGCGAAGCGCCCAGCCTGCCCTTCCGACTCTGGCTTCGGGGTGCGGCAGGGAGGAGTTGTGCACAAAGGAAAGTCATGGAGGAGGGGGGAGGCAGGGAGGGAGGGAGGGAGGGAGGGAGGAGCAGGAAGAAGAGGAGGAGGATGAGGAAGAGGAGGAGGAGGAAGAGGAGGAAGACGAGGGGAGGACGAGGATGAGGAAAAAAAAAAGGAGGGGGGGGGATGAGGAGGCCTGGCCCCTCATCCCCCGTCGTTCGCTCGCTCCAGTCCTGCCCTCGCCGCGCTGGCCAGGAAAGCCGAGGAAGGCGGGCCCGACGCTGGTCGGCAGAAAACGCCTCGCCTGCCGCCGTCGCTGCTGCTCCAGAGCAGCAGGTGAGGGAGGCGGAGGAGTATGGTGAGGTGAAGGTGGAGGAGGATGGTGCGGAGGTGAAGGAGGAGGATGGTGATGAGGATGGTGAGGAGGCGGAGGTGGAGCGGGAGTAGGAGGATGAGGATGATGATGACGATGCTGGTGACGATGCTAATGTTGATGACGACGATGATGGAGATGACGATGACGCTGTCGATTGTGATGTTGCTGACGATGACGATGACGACGATGACGGCGCTGATGATGACGGTTGTGGGGGCGACAAAGATGGCGATGCTGTTACTAATGATGAGGTTGACGATGATGGTGGTTGCGGTGGTGGTGTTGATTGGGATGCTGTTGATGATAATGACGATGAGGATGCCGATGATGACGGCTCTTTTTGTTGTTGAAGAGGACGGTGATGATGATGCTGATGATGATTCTGATACTGCTGCTGCTGATGATGCTGATGAAGATGATGTTGATGATACTGATGATTATGATGCTGATGATGGTGATGGTGGTGGTGGTGGTGGCGGTGGGGTTGATGGTGATGGCGATCATGACGACGATGGTTGTGGTTGTGGTAATGGTGTTGAGGATTATAACAACGACGAGTTCGATGACCGTTATGATTCCGACGACGACGACCATGATGATGCTGATGATGATGATGCCGATACTGATGCTGATGATGCTGATTATGCTGCTGATGCTGATGATGCTGATGAGTGAGTGATGAATGCGTGGTGATGATGACGATGCTGATGATGATGACGATGACGACGATGATGATGTTGATGACGATGATGATGCCGCTGCTGATGATGATGCTGAAACTGATGCTGCTTCTGATTATGAATACGATGGTGATGCTGATTATGATGATGATGATGGTGGTGGTGGTGGTGGTGGCGGTGGTGGCGGTGGGGTTGATGGTTATGGCGATCTTGGCGACGATGGTGGTGGTGATGGTAATGGTGATGAGGATTATGACAACGACGAGTCCGATGACCATTATGATTCCGACGACGACGACGACCATGATGATGCTGATAATGATGATGATGATACTGATGCTGATGATGCTAATAAGGATGCTGATGATGATCATGCTGAACGATGATGAACGATGATAATGATGATGAATGGTGATGATGAAGATGATGATGAGTGAGGAATGGTGATGATGACGATGACAACGACGACGATTCTGATGATGATGATGCTGCTGCTGCTGCTGATGATGATGATGATGATGATGATGATGGTGGTGATGATGCCGATGATGATGTTGATGGTGGTGATGATGATGATGATGATGATGATGATGATGATGATGCTGATGATGCTGATGACGGTGGTGGTGGTGGTGATACGAAAAGGAGGAGGAGGGAGGAGGAGGAGGAGGAGGAGGAGGAGGAGGAGGAGGAGGAGAAGGAGGGAGAGGGGGAGGCTGAGTAGGAAGCCTTGTCTTTATTTGCTTCTTCCTGATCCCTTGCCTCTCGTTCCCGACTCTGTCTGGACGATGTCCCACCCTCGCCGTGTACGTTTTTGATGGCATGATTGTAACGAGTTCTTGTTGTTTGATTCAAAAGGGTTGCGCCATTACGCCGTCCTCCAGACGAGATGAGGCCTTGTGGGCGTCCTGGTCGGCGTCTTGAAGCCTCGTCAGAGTTTCCTGGGCGCTTGCTGGCTGTATCTGGGACGCCGTCGCGCGCATGGGATGCCTTCAAGCGTCCGGGCGCGTGGGAGGAGTGGCCGCCGCACAGTCCTTACTCCGCGCATGGGGCTCACTTGTCCTGCGCCTTCCGGAGGGAGCACCGAAATATGCTGCGCGTCGCACAGGAAGCGAGAGGCTCCCGGAGTGACCTCGCGGATGGTCGATGTAACCGCCTCGATCTGGGATTCGGGAACACTGGGAGGAAGGAGGAAGAGGATGAAATAGATGGCGACAAAGGGAAAAGGATGAAAGGAGGAAACATTGGGAAGAAGGAGGAAAAGGATGACATAGATGGCGACAAAGGGAAAAGGAGGAAACATTGGGAAGAAGGAGGAGAAGGATGATGGAACAGATGACGACAAAAGGAGGCCCGCTCTGAAAAAGGGCCGCCCTCCACCCGCGCAGCGGCAGCACCGGTTTGGCGAATGTCGGGCCTCCGGCCCACATGCCGGGGGGGGCTTGTCGGGGCGTCGGCGCGGCCTGCGGGCGGCCTCCTCCTCCTCCTCCTCCCTCCTCCTCCTCCCTCCTCCTCCTCCTCCTCCCTCCTCCTCCTCCTCCCCCTCCTCCTCCTCCTCCTCCTCCTCCTCCTCCTCCTCCTCCTCCTCCTCCTCCTCCTCCCGACCTGGCTGCCGATGCAGCTAAGACGCGGAAGTAAGGGCCGCTTTGGGTTCGGAAGGGGCTCGGGTAGGGGGCCACATGCGAACCCTGACCCTACCCCCCACCATTTCTGAGGGGGAGGGTGGGGTTCACTTCGCTCGGGAGCTCCCGAATGAAGTGAGCCCCACCCTCCCCCTCAGAGATCGTCGGGGGCAGGGTTCAGGGTTCGCATGTGGCCCCCTAGTTGGAGCTTTGTGGAGCCAGTGGGGGGTCTTGGGGGGAGGGCTCCCAGGGCCTCTGCGGGTTCCCCCTCTTGGACCCCTCGTGGGCCTCTCTTGAGGCCGCGTTCGGGTTTTGGTTTGCCGTTTTGGGGGCCTCAGGGGCCGTCTTGGGGCCCTCCTTGGCCGTCTCCGGGCCGTCTTCGATGGTCTCTTGGGCTGGCGTGGGCCAGTCTGGGGGGCCTCTTGGGCCGTCTCGAGCGTGCAGACGCGAGAGAGCCGAAGACGCGAAAATCATGCAAGAACTAACAGGGAATGAATGATTGTTGCCTCTTGAGGCGTCCTCTTGCGGCTTCTGCGTCTTCGGCCGTCTTGAAACTATCTTCGGTTTTTTTTGGAGGCCTTCCTGGCAAATCGGAGCTCGTCTAGAGCCATCTCAGAACACTCTTGGGATCTTGGCGGCCACAGGGGGTGCATTTGCAGGCTCTGGAGGCCGCAGGGGAGCGTTGGGGAGCCCGGCGCCCCCCCTCCCCGAAGCCCGAGGGCTCCGCCCCCCCTTCCAGCGCGCTTTTGTGCCCTGGGGGATGAGGACAGCCAAATGTCAGGAGGGGAAAAAGCACACAGACACAATTGATGGTCGATTCCCCGGAAATCATGGGAAAATATGGGAAGTGGGGGGGAAGACAAAAACCCAGAAAATATAGGGAATCCTGTTTTTTGTGTTCATTTATTTGTGTGTCCCAGGGCCCCTTCAAAATGTTTCACACGCATTTTCGCCCCCGGCATGCCGGGGGTCGGTGGACAGTCCGCTTGTTTTAGGTGTTTCAAAACGGCATTCTCGCTGCAGCGTCGGCCTCATTCATTGTCGGGTCGGCGCTCTGCTCACGTCGTTCAGAGAGGCGCTCCCGCTCCAGCGCGGGCCACTTTTCTAGATCCGAGTACTTTTTCATCTCTGTTGCCCCACTCTCTTCCCTTCCTCCGTCTATTCCAGTTCCTGTTGCTGCTGTTCGTCCTCGTCCTTCTTCCTTCTCTTTCTTTTCCTCCTGTTCGTCCTCCTGCTCGCCCGCCACCTCCTCCTATGTGCGCAGCTTCCCTCTTCCGACCGCGCATAACACGGTGGGGTCACGGTTGGAATTCCAGGTCGGCTATGACGCGCGTCCGCGGATAGAGGAACAATCGGCGCAAAGGCAGGGATGTGAGAGAAGGATCGGATTACAGATGAGGCGCGAGCGCACCTAGCTTGCCCTCTCCTCTCCCTCCCTCCTCCCTCCATCCTCCCTCCTCCCTCCTCACGCTCCTCCCTCCCCTCCTCACTCCTCCTACATCGCGCGTCTTTCTGGCCTTCCTTCTTCCTTCTCCCTCCCCTCATCCCTCCACCTTTCTCCTCCTCCCATCCTCCTCCTCCCCTTTGTCATCGTCTCTTCCTTTTCCTATTCCACATATCCCTTCTCGTTCTTCCTTCCATGCTCTCCCATTCTCTCCTACTTCGGACCTCGTTCCTGCCGCCTCGTGCCTCGTGTCTCCTGCCTCCTCTCCCCTCATATCCACCTCATCGCGCTCTACCCTACTCTACCTCAGTCACCCCCCTCCGCTCCAATGCGCACGACCGCACTCCATATCATGCCACTCCATCCTGCTGCTTACCGCACCGCTTCACCGCATCCCACTTCGCGCTACCCCGCCCCTCGACTTCACTCCGCTCCTCGTTGCTCTCTACGCCAAACTGTTCCACTCTACTCTTCTCCACGCCACGCCATCCTACTCCACTGCGCTCACTCGTATGTCCTTTGCTCTCTCACTCACTCGCTACCTAATTTTCCTCTCTCTCTCTGTCTTTCTGTCCTTCTGTTTGTCTATCCGTCTGTCTGTCTGTCCGTCCGTATGTCCGTATGTCAGTGTCTCATTTTTTTCAGTTTGTCTGTCTGTCTGTCTGCCTGCCTGCCTGTTCTGTCTGTCTGTCTGTCTGTCGGTCGGTCGGTCGGTCGGTCTGTCTGTCTGTCTGTCTGCCTTCCTGCCTGCCTGTTCTGTTCAGTTCTGTTCTACTTTGTTCCGTGCTGTGCTGTGCTGTGCTGTTCTGGTCTGTCTTGTCTGTCTTGCTGTCTGTCAGTATGTTTGTCTGTGTGTGTGCGCGTGTGTGTGCGTGTGTGTGTGTGTGTGTGTGTGTGTCTGTCTGTCTCTCTGTCTCTCTGTCTGTCTGTCTTTCTGTCTTTCTGTCTTTCTGTCTTTCTGTCTTTCTGTCTGTCTGTCTGTCTGTCCTGTCTGTCTGTCTGTCTGTCTGTCTGTCTGTCTGTCTGTCTGTCTGTCTGTCTGTCTTGCTGTCTGTCTGTCTGTCTGTCTCTGTTTCTCTCTTCCTTGCTCTCTCTCTCTCTCTTTTTCTTTTTTGCTTCTCTCTCTCTCTCTCTTTCCATCTTCCATCTTTCGCTTGCACCCCCTCCCTGGGGCCCCCGCGCTCGCTCGTGGGGCCGTCGCACCGGTGGCACCTCTCGGTCGCCTTCGCCCTCGGGACGTCGCTTGTCCCCCTTGGGCCTTCTCGCCGTCTCGGGGCCTCGGCGCCAGCTGCATCCCGTGCGGAGTGCACCCCCCCCCCAAGAAAAAACTTCCGCTCTGCTCTCTCCTCCCCTCCCGCTCCCCCTCCTCCCCCCACCTCGGAGAGCCCGCTCCGTCGAACTCGCAGCCCTCTCCTGTGGCTTCCCATCGAACCGGCGCCCCGTCTGCGCCCTCGTGTTCACCTCGTTGCCACTCTGCACATCTCCTCCTCTCCGCCGCTGCTTTGTCCACGTCTGCAGGCTGGCTCCACGCTCCACTTTTTTCTCAGGAGGGGAAAAAACACACAGACACAATGAATCCTCGATTCCCCAGAAATATCGGAAAATATGGGAAGTGGGGGGGGGGAAGACAAAAACATAGAAAATATCGGAAAATATGGGGAATCTCGATGTTTGTGTGTATTTATTTGTGTGTCCCTGGGCCCCTTCATTTTCGCAGTGTTCGGCCCTCGGTGGGCCATGTCTGGGCTCTGCAGCAGCAAGAACGATCCAGAACCAGACACCAGTCCACTGTAAGGGGTCGGGAGTTCTCGGAACCACACGATGGAAGCCAGAGATCGGAGGCCCGGGAAGAGAGCAGACGTGGGCGCCTTGCTCCTTCTCGTCCCCTGGCCGCCCCCGCATGCCTCCACCCTGTCCGGAGTCGCAGCACTTGCGATGCCTCCTGCACGCGACGAGCGGTACTCCTGAGCGGGAGGCCCGAGCCTCGAGCTCGGGCTTCTTTCCGATCTGGTTCGATCCCGACCGAGTCGGAGTCGAAACAGGTCCTGCTCCCCCTCCCCGCTCCCTTCCCCTCCTCCTCCTCCTCCTCCTCCTCCTCCTCCTCCTCCCCTCTCCTCCTCCCCCTCCTCCTCCTCCTCCTCCTCCTCCCCTCCTCCTCCTCCTCCTCCTCCTCCCCCTTCTCCTCCTCCTCCTCCTCTTCCTCCTCCTCCTCCTCCTCCTCCTCCTCCTCCTCCTCCTCCTCCTCCTCCTCCTCCTCCTCCTCCTCCTCACCCTCCTCCTCACCCTCCGCCGCAAATGCCTGCAGGCAGCGGCTCTGAAGACGTGGACCAGCCCCTCCTCCTGGCCTGCTCGCGCGGGGAGCCGAACGCTTGCTGCTCGCCCCGCGCCGGCGGCGCGGAGGAGGGGAGGATGAGAGGGGCGGGAGCGGTGAGGGAAGAAGGAAGAGGGAGGAGGAAGGATGAGAGGGGCGGGGGGAGGAGGAGGAGGTGTTGGAGCATTTCCAGCGGCATTTTCAGCCCGGGCAGCCCGATTCCAAACATTTGGACACATACCGTAATCAAAATCCTGTGCACATGTGTTGTCCCGCGGCTTCCCCAGAGTTGCAGGCCGATTGCAACAATTCCCATGCTATATAAATTGTTCTCTCGCTTGCTATACAACCTATTGTTCCCGATCCTCGATCCACGCCAGAGCCGCGACCAAGCAGGACTTCGACCCAAATACAGTACGACTGACCACCTATTCACTCTCACGAAGATCCATGACAAAGCCGACGCCGGGACATTAACTGTATGGACAGCGACGGTCGACGTCAACAAAGGCTTTGGACAGCGTCAGCCATATAGGACTCCTTGCTCCAACAGGGTGTGCCTCCTGCATGCGCGCGCTTGCCTGCATAACTGTGCAGTGGACAGACAGCAGCGGCGGTCCGAACAGACAATTGCAGTAAGACGTTCAACATTGAGCGGGGCACCAAACACGGTGATCCTCTTCGCCCACTCTCGTTCAACTGCGCCACCGAGCACATCATGCGCAGCGTCAAGTCGAGGTGGTCTCACAAACACATGGGGCTCCTGCGGCCAGGGGCGAAAGACTCACCAACCTTCGTTTCGCCGACGTCATCATACTAGTGGCAGCCTCTCGCCAGAGCACATCACGAGCATGACTTGTGACCTTAGTGCTGCGAAATCTGGTCTTATTCAACACCAGGACAAAGCACACAGATTTTGCATAATGTGTACTGGAGATCACGCAGGCGCAGGGTATCGAACCATGCTGTGGCAAATTGTATGTCGATAGACATTTTACCCACGTGCAAGTCAACAACATACTTGGGGCGGAAGTTTCAATCCAGCGACTTCCACACAATGAACTCCGAAACCCGAATCGGGAAGAGCCGATGGGGGAGCACGACTCACTCAATACCAGGAATACGGCTCCTTCGCGGAACAGTTACGCCAACGGTATTTATGATTGTGAAGCTTGGACAATGGCAGCGACTATGGAGAACCGGCTGCGCAGGGTGCAGAGACACATGCTCCGTATGATTTTGTAGATTCCGCGGCGGCGAAACGCAACAGGTGGCCACCACGGCAGATTGCTGGAATCCATGGGGAATTCGAAGTCATCGACCGACGACGAGCAGATCCCAGACTACCAGGTACCCGAGTGCGACGACGACGGATTGGAGTTTTGGGCGGATTGGATCCGCAGAGCAACAAAGAAAGCTGAACAAGTGTTTACACAGTTGAAAACGGCAGATTGGCTATCAATTCAACGTCAACGAAAATGGATATGGGTTCATAAGGTTCTTATACCAGACAGCAGCAGTTGGATGGCACAGGCGTTGCTGTGGAATCTTGAAGCAGATCTTGACTGTGATAGTCGCCGACACCCAGGCCCCCCGAAGAAGCGATGGTCCGATGATCTGCGACAAGCGACTCTATCTGAATCACGTGTTCCGGACAAGAGTGGCTTGATGTTGCCAGAACAGACGTTTGGCGAACATCGGATGGTAAACTTGTCGGTATACAGTGTAATCTTGATTTTCAGACAGATGTTCATTAGAAGCATGGACGGTAGCATGCGTAGCAGCAGACATTGCAGCAGAGGACCATCCGGGGAAACCATGGATTTCAGCTTAGTTGCGACTGACGTTCACATTCTCTCACTCGCATTTTCTCCGTCGTCCCTCTTGTCGCTCGATTCCGATTCGATTCCGATTCTCTCCCTCGGCCTCGCCTCTCGTCCTCGCTTGTCGTGCGTCCCTCTTCGTGCGTCTTCTCCCCTCCTCGGCTGCGCCGCGCAGAGAGATTGCCACCGCACGATTGTCACACCATGGCGCCACGGCGCCCGCCTGCGGCGCCCCCGCCGGCGTACACTTCGCAGGTCCGAGGCCGAGTCCGAGTCCGAGTGGAAGGTGTGGCCCGCGAGCAGAACGACTGCCACGAGACATGGCTGAAGGGCGGCGCGGCTGGGAAGAGTGGCGCGTTACGCCCCCCAGAGTCGTTTCCGCATGACTACTGAGAATTGTCGGGGGCCGCAGCCAGATGCGAGAACGCCGACGTGACCTTTGTCCGTGTCCCCCATTGCGCCGCGACGCCCGTTTGTGCAACGGCGTGGTTGCGCAGCTCGCTGGACAGTTGAGACTGCTTTCCAGAAGGGACTTGAGTGGACCGCGCGAACCTACAGCGCGGCGCTTGTCGGGGGGCCGTCCCGAAGGCGGTTATGCAAAACTGCTTCCGCGCGGCCGTGCAGTTTATTCAAGACCTGCTTGAACAAGGAACTCCCGCGTCCGAGCCAGAAGGCCACCTCCGCTTTGGTCGCGTCGCCTGCAGCTCTTCCGTCTGCCAGGCGGGTGCCGGAGGGTGCTGACAGCCACTCTTGCGTTATTCAGGAGGGAAAAAACACACAGACACAATTAATCGTCGATTCCCCAGGACAATATGGGAAAATATGGGAAGTGGGGGGGACGACAAAAGCCGAGAAACTACGAGAGCATATGGGGAATCGCTTTATTTGTGTGTGTACTTATTTGTGTGTCCCAGGGCCCCTTCACGAGACGAGGGGCGGGGTGGCCGAGAGGGGATGGGGAGGGACGACGGCGCGAAGAGGAGCAGGGGAGGATCGGGAGGATTGAGGGGGGAGCGTCGTGTTGAGATGCAGGGGCATCCGCGTGATCCTGCGCCCCCGCCTTGTCCGCGGCGTGGCAGGCCACTGACCTGTTCGATTTTTTCCATACCCCCCAGGAGTAGTACAGGTATGCAGCTGCACTTGCCCCCCAGGGGACCTCGTCGCTGCGCTCCCGCCCTCGCCTTCTCATCGCCCCCCCCCGCCTTTTCATCGCTGCTCCCTCCTCCTTCTCCTCCTCCTCGTCCTCCTCCTTCTCCTCCTCCTCGTCCTCCTCCTCCTCCTCCTCCTCCTCCTCCTCGTCCTCCCAGAATGACCTTTCTTCGGCCGTGGCGCTTTCGGCACACGACACGTCCCCGAACCTCCGACCAGTCGGCCAGAGGCGTCCATTCGCCGGACTAGGTTTCATCCCCGCGCTCCCCGCTCGAGTTGACCTGCGTCAGTGGTCTCCTCCTCTCCTCCCCGCCCCCGCTCCTCTGTCCTCCGCCTTGTTCTGCTCTCTCGGTTTCGTCACCTTCTCTTCCTCCCCACTCCTCATCGTCGCCCGCGTGGTCCGGGTTTTCCTCGCCCTCGCCCTCGCCCTCGCCCTCCCCTCCCTTCCCTTCCCCCCCTCTTTCCCCTCTCCCTTCTCTCCTGTCTCCCCCTCTCCGCCCTCCCCACCTCCTCCTCTCGCTCTCGGTGGAGGCGACAGCCCAAGTCTGCCAGGGTGGAGTCTGCGGAGTGCCCGCGGTGCTCCCCGCTCGCGGGGGTGGGGAGGGGGCGGGGGAGGCAGCTGGGGAGCGCCCGGACGATCACGAGGCGGGGATGAGGGGGCGGAAGAGGAGCAGGAGCAGAGGGGGACCGCGGCGCTCGGGAGGCCCCTCCGTCGGTCCGGCTGTGCGGAGCACCAGGCCGTGAACACTGCCTCCCACAAGTGTGCCAACATGCAGTCGGGTCGCTGAAGAAGGAACCCGTTTCGTTGGGGAGGGGCTCCGTGTTCCCTAAGTGTTTCACAGCTTGCCTCCGGTTTTCCTTATGTCTTCGATGGGGAACCGAAGTTTAACTTATGGAAAAAAAGGGGCCTCGTTCCTTATTTAGGGTTTCTTAGGTCAAGGCCCCGACTGTAATGGAGGCGATTCTTGGGGTCAGCGTGGTGGATGGCACGGGGCGCCCTCGGGAGGCAGGACATTGCAGATGCTCGGCCGCACATGCGCACCCCCGGTTCCAGCGATTTTCGGCATGCGTGTGGTCAAGCGTTCGGGCTCCTGCAAGCTGCCCCGGGTCCCGAGGTGAGGCCTGACTGATCGGGGAGGACTGGGCCGCCCCTGTCGTGGGCCCCTGGCGGAGGGAATTCGCCTCCGCCATGGAGACAAACGGTTTCCCTCTGAGGGGGGCCGCCCACCCAATTTTTATTATGGTTTCGCCCCCCCCCAAAAGGATTTGATTGCACTTTGGGTACCTTATTTCTTTTCTTAGGAACTGGGCCTGCCCGTCGGTCTGGCGGCTATGTGGTCGCCGTCGCCGCCCCGTCGCTCCGGGCCTGCCGGTTGGTCTGGCGGCTATGTGGTCGCCGTTGCCGGCCCGTCGTCGTCTAGGCCTGCGTTACTTTGCATTGCTTTGTCTTCCTTTGCTCCACATAGATTGGGCCACATACATCGCAGCACATAAATTGCCCCACCTATGTTGCTCCACATACATTGCAGCACATATATGGCACTACGTGCCCACGCTGCTATCATACTTTCGAAATGCACTCTTCACGACGTATTCTAGTGACTCCGATGCGTTTCGGGGGCAGCTAGCCGCTAGCCCCTTTCGGCAGGCATGGGCCCAAACGGCCATCGCGCGGCGCGCGGACACTATCCACGCGTGCACGCAGAGGAATGCGGATGCGATCAATAGCATAATTGGGAGCCCACGAGTCCGCGAGGAAACACACACACATTTTTTTTTCAGACGCCCTCAACTTGGCATCGCTCGGACGCGTACATGTCTTCTCGGCAAGAACCTTTGAGGATCATTTTGGGTCATCTTGCGATGAAAATACATGCACGAAGCCGAAGCATGCACGAGAAATAGACGTCCGAGCGATGACGAGTCAGTGGTCCCACAGGCAGGTAAGTGGGAAGAGGAAGGGAAGCAGGGGTAGGAAATCAAGAACTCAGAGGAGGAAGAGACTGATGCTGCTACCGTAAACCTCGTTGCCACGGTCAGATTCACCATGAAGTCCTGGTCCGAACGCACCCCGGAAAGGTCCGGGGAGCAGCATTGCTTCCTGCCCAGGGGCGTCCTGCCCGGCGTCGCCCGCCTGCCCTGTCCGCCTGTCCCCCGCCCCTGACTGAAGTGTGCGGAAGGATACGGCGGAGCCGGTGGGGGGAGTGGCGTTGGCGGAGGCGCCTGCCGGCGCGGCCGGCGAGGCGGGCGCGTCGGCTGGCCCCGAGGCCGCGGGCGGCGCCGCGGGCGCCGCGGGCGCTGCGGGCGGCGCCGCGGGCGTCGCCGAGCTCGTGGCCGCGGTCGAGGCGCTGAGTGGCGCGGCTGGGCCTGCTGGGGCGCTGGCTGGAGGCGACGGCGAGGACGGGGCGCCGGGCGGCGGGGCGGCCGGCGCTGGCGGGGCGACTGCTGGCCCGGAGGCCCGGGGCCCCGCTCGGTTCACCGCCCTCCGGCGGGTGTGCGGGCGGGGGCCTCCGCCGTATAAGCCGTGCTGCCTGGGCTGGGCCAGCGCGGGTGGCGGGGGGACTCTGCGCGCCGGCCGGGGGGAGGGCCGACAACAAGAACGGCGGTGTCGATCTGTTGTGGTGCTTCCAGGAGCAGCTGGCGCCACGGAGGGTACTCCGAAGCGCGCAGAGGCTCCTGTGCGCGCCGGGGGGCACGACCTCCCCGCGGGGGACGCCGTCGCGGACGCCTGTCGCGCATTTCTTTGTCGTTTCGCGCCGTGGCGTCGTATAATCACCTTGCGGGGCAGACGGTCGCGTTCAGCCTCCAGCTGGTTATGCGCGACTGGCCCATGCTGCGAAGGCCTTGCGGCGGGTGCCGCCGACCCTGAAGGTCGACGACGACGACGGCGGCGGCGGCTGCGATGACGACGATGACGACGCTGACGTGGGCCAGAGGAGTGCTTTTTGGGGTCTCGTCGGAAGACTCTCGGGGGTCTCTGGGGAGGAGTTCTGGGGCCTCTTGGGAGAGCCTCTCGGGGCCTCTTCGGGCTTCCTGGGGGCCTCTTGTGGGCCTCTTGGGGCCTCTTGGGAACCTCTTGGGGCCTCCTGGAAGCCTCTCGGGGCCGAGGGCTCGAAATGTCCGTTCGGGTCCGCCGTCTGGGCACTTGAAGCCGTTTTGGGCGCATCTTGGGCCGCCTTGGAGGCGTTGTGGCGTGTCTTGGGGTCTTCTTGAAAGGATTTCAGGGAAAGGGGGCGACGGCGACGACGGCTGAGGTAGACGACGACTCGAACGGACAGGCCCCCCTCACACACGCCGACAGGGTCGGCGGATTTCTTCATCACCCACGAAAAGAATCAAGACTGGAGGGCGGAGGCGACAGGAAGAAAGGAGGAGGGCCGCCCCAAGAGAGAGAGAGAGAGAGCGGTTCTTCTCCTTTCGCGCAGCCCGCTTTCAGTGCGCCCCGTGTGCGCGCACGCAAGTCTATGCGTGCATTCGCTCGCCGCGCGCTCTTGCTGTGCGGACGCACCCTGGAGTTTCATCTTGCCCGCCCCTGAAGCTTTCCGGCTACCGCTTCTTCTGCCCCTAGACGCTCGCCGGCGTGATTTTTCCGCAGCGTCGACCCCCAGAGATCTCGACCACTTCCCAGGGGCCAGCTTCCCACCCTGGGCCGCTACTTTCACCGGGCCTGGCGAGGGCCCCCCCCGGAGTCCGAAGCGGGCAAACACCTCACTAAGTCAAAACAGATGCCCAATCCCAAAAACGCGAGGGCCAAGACAAAATGCAGGCTCCTCGAGGCTTCGGGGAGGGAGATTTTGGGGTAGGGTTTTACCAGGGTGACGACGACGAACGCAAAACATTCCTCGAAATCTTTGGCCGATCTCGAATCCTCGGTGAATCCGCGATTTTGGGATTGGGGATGTGTGTTTTTCGTGGTCAACACCGTCCGGCGTGTGTTTTCCAGGGCGCCATATGGGGGCCTGGGGCCGTCGGCGCGGCCGGCGGCGCCCAGGTGCGGCACCACCATGGCGACCGGCCTGGGCATCCGGGCCTGCGTGCTCTGCAGGTGCTGAGGCTGCGCCCCAACGCGCACGCCGGCGGGCGACGCCCCGTGCGAGGCCCGTGGCCTGGGCGCAGCGGTGCTGTCGTCCCGTCGGGCGTCTCGTCGTGGGGGGGGGGGCGACCGGCGGGGCGGGGTCGAGGGTTGCAGGGAGAGTGGGCTTTCGTTCTGTCCGCTCTCGTGGGGTGCTTCTTCGATTCGTCCTCTCTCGTTTTTGTCCTCTTTCGAGGCCCGGGTGACCCTGAACGACTGGAAGCGGACGTATAATGAAGTTCTGGCGCAGTGAAGCGGAGCCCCTGCCTTACGAGTGGCCTAAATGGGGTCCCTGGGGCCCCGCAGGTGGTCGCACGGTGCATCTTCCTCCCTCCTGTCTGTTGCCCAACTGATTTTGGGTCGAGCACATTCCGAGCCCAGGCTCCGAGGATCGAGGGCCGGTGTTCTCGTTTCTCCATGGATGTTTTTAAGTTTTTAGGCGGCGCCCGCACGGGGCTGGCGCGAGGTGGCAGCCTTGACGAAGAAGGGGGCACTTTTTGGGTGGCATAGGGGTTTTCTTAGAAGGTCCTGGAGGCTTCACGAAGGCTTTTTAGAAAGCGTGCGGGCTTGTACGAAGCCCCCCTGCCTTCTTGAAAGTTCCGCCGCTCTCTTAGAAGCCCACCCCCCTCGCGCCACTCCGTTTCTGTGCGCAGCCAAATTTCTGGGGTGGGAGGGCTCGTGCATGCCGCTGGGTGTCGATGCGAGATCACGACAAGAAGTACGACAGCGTCAGCCACGGCAGAGAGTATCGGTCTCACCAGAGTTGGGCGACTGGTCGGAATGCGGCACAGGTGGCAAGCCTCGTTGCTCCCTGTGCGCAGTGAACCAGTGCCGTGCCGAGGCCGCTCGCATCCGCGAGCAGCCGTTGAGTTGACGTGTGTATTTTCGCCTGTACCCTGCGCCTGCAATTCGGGGTCTGGGCTCCTTAATCTAGCTTCGATCCTTTACTTTACACCACCTAGCACCTCATTCTTACACCGCATAGCTTACATCACGTAGCTTGCACTGCATTGCTTACACCACATGCCGTGCACCACATCTCTGCCGCCGCACAGCTTACATCACATACCTTACACCATATAGGTTGCACTTCATTCGGCCGCCAGGGATGAACATCTATGCATTGTGCCGCGCTGGAGCGGGGCCTGATTGGTGTGCAAACATGGTACGATGCAGCGCATGGGCGCCGTTCTTGTAACCTAGCTTTCACCACCTAAGCTACATATCCACAGTGAAGCATCGTACTGCTTTGGGTCCACGCTACCATGCGTTATGTATATGTATATGTATATGCATTGCAATGGCGTGCCATAGATTCTTTGCTGCCTGTGGCGAGCGGGAGGGGGCCGCGGCCACCCGTGCTCAAGCCTTTCATCCAGCGAGCTGGGGGCACCTGTCCAGGCAGAGGCGCGGATGGTTGGCAAGCCGTTCGTGTGGCTCCTGGGCGCCGCCACCAACCTGCTGGCGGCCTGGATCTCGCGTGCGCCGCCGTGCCCCGCGGTCCCTTCGTGCCCAGCCTCGCCGACGTGCCCGTCGGTGTCTTGCCCGAACCTCTCGTGTGGGGAGGTCCACTGCCGTGCTGCGGGGGAGCAGCTGACCTGCCCGGCGGCGCCCCCTGCGCCGCCCCCGCCGCCGGCGGCGCCCGCGGCGCCACCGGCACCCGAGCCGGCGCCAGCGCCGGCGGAGCCGCCTTCGAGTTCTTTCTGGAGCTGGGCGGCGCTGCTGTTGGGCCACGTGGTCCTGGCCACGATCCAGCTCTGGCGCGGCATCGTCAGTCTCGTGAAGGGCCTCGTGTGCCGTCGCCATGGCCGCCACAGTGCCGCCACCGCCCGGCGTCCTGCGCTGGGCTTGGGTGCTGTATCGAGGAGAGCGGCTCTGGCACCAGCGGAGGGTCTGGGGCAGATTGGCGGATCCAGCAGCGGGGAGCAGTGACCCGCTGGACCTCCTGATCTCTAGTGCTGACCATGACGTGTACGAGGAGCGGTACAGTCGGAACAATCCAGATATCGTCACTGTGGTCTTCAGCCCGACTCGCCAGGCGCTCCAGGGTGTGGACCCGAACGTACTCTACCGCTTCAGGCGGGAGCTGAACGGGCGCGAGACGGTCGCCATCCAGGACGCTCTCTTTCAGGTAGCGGACGAGCTGTACTTGGATCGAGAGCGCGCCGCTGGCCGACCGCGCGTGCTCCCTGCGGGCGGCTCTTACGTGGAGTTCGACTTCACTGCAGCAGCCCCTGGACCAGGCGTCCCTGGCGCAGGCCCTGCCGCTCTCGTGCCCGTGGGTGGAGGCGCCGCTGGCGCGGCGCCTGCTGCGCCCCTGGCGATCGCGGCCGCCGCCGGCGCCGCCGCTGCCCCTGCAGCGGGCCTCGCGGCTGGCGCAGCCGTGCCTGTTGCGGGCGCCCCAGCGGGCGCCGCTGGCGGTCCGCCGCCGGCTGAGGCAGGCGCGGCTGGACCGCCTGTGGGGCCGGCCCCGGCCTGGGTGCTCATCGAGAGCACCGGTGGAGGCAATCGGGGCGACGTAGTGCAGCTCAACGGGACCGAGCGGATTGAAGGGGACATCGGACTCATCCAGCTGAACGCGGGCTGGGTCGCCATCCGTCGGATCTCGATGGACCCCTCGGTGTATCGGTGCGCCGAGAGCGGGGCGGACATCAGGCTGCTGGGCGTGCCGCCTCGGCCTGACGGCTCCAGGCAGCGTCTGGCGTGGCGCGACGCGGTGCCGATGATGGTGGAGAACATCATCCCTGGGTGGCTGCTCGGCGGTCCTCGCACCATGCTGTGGTGCGCACAGTTCATCGACAGGAAGAGGGGCGGCCCCGTGGAGCACTACATTAGCTTCGTGTCCTTCTACCACCTCACGAAGGAGGATTACGGGGTCGCCCACTACGAGAATATCATGAAGATGATAGAGCACCTCGCGTGCTGGGATCAGGTGAACCTCCCCGACCTGGTCGGGGCGGAGCTGGCCATTCGACAGGCGCAACATCTACTCCATGGAGTTCGAGGCTCAGCAGTCGAGGGGCTCCAAGGACGGCAACGACGGCGACGGCAAGAAGAGGGGCCGAGGGCGTGGAGGAGGGCTTCACCGATTCGGCATCGTGGACGAAGCTGCGGTGTTCACCGGGGCGGCCAAGGAGGACGGCCGCTCGATGATTTGCCCGCTACTATTGGAGCATGTCTCCAAGCAGGTGGAGCGCGACGCAGGGATCCTGAAGCAGATCAGGAAGGCCCGAGAAGAGCGTCGCGCTCTGTCATCATGAGCAACGCGGACGGCTTCTGGGAGCCCCTCGCCCAGGAGCCTGCCAGGTCGAGAGAGGGGGCGCCCGTGGGCCTCGCGGGTGCAGCAGATCTACCTGTACATGAGGCTTCAAACTCCAGCGCTGATCTTCGCCAGCGTGATCTCTTTCCTTTGCCCTATTTTGGCGCTGGGGCCCCATCTCCTTCTACACCTACCCTGCCATCGAGGTCAGTGCGCAGGCGCCTTGAGAAACGGTCCCACGTTCACGGCATGGTCGACGAGATGACCGACGCGCTGAACGAGCTTTGGGGCTGCCCGCCGGCGGCGCGCCGTCAAGCGCCCGCCGGCACGCCGGCGCCTGCAGCTGGCCACGCCCTCGTCCTCTCGGAGCTCCGCCAGGCCGCGGTGAGGTTTGGCCCGTGCCCAGAGGGCTTGGACGGTCCAGGAGCCCTTGAGGAGCTCCGGATATCTCAATCATACGAGGGTGACGCCACGTTGGTTGCCCCGGTGAGCTTCGACCTCGTCGACTCCATCTCATTGCCTCCTGCTGGTAGCCGACCCGCCGCCCTGGAGACGATCGACGAGATGGCAGGCCAGAATATCGCTCATCGGTTGAAAGAGTTACTCCTGCCCCGACAGCTGGGGATGGAGCGCATCAGAGAGGCAGGTCCGAGACGACTCTACACGGATCCAGCCCTCCGCAACCCGCGCCTCTACTCGATGGTGGTGCGGCGGCTTATGGACGCCGGGCTGGTTGACTTCTACAGCTCGGCGGAGTGTTACGTTGGCATGTTCTTCGTGCGCAAGAAGAACGGGTCGCTGCGGATGATCCTCGATGGGCGGCGTGCATCCCTCAGGTTCGCGCCTGCCGACCCCGTGGAGCTGGCGACGGGCTCTGCATTCGCTCAGATTTCGGTCGACGGCGACGAGCCCATCAGCATCGGGGGCGTCGACATCTGCGACGCCTTCTACCAGATCGAGCTTCCGTCGTGGCTTCGCCGCTACTTTGGCTTGCCCAGGCTGAGGGCTGGCGACCTCGGACTCACGCACCTGTCCGATGGGTCGGCGGTGCGACCGTCGTCCTGGGTCGTGCCGTGCTTCAGGTGCCCGCCGGTGGGCTGGAGCATCAGCCTTTGGATCTGCCAGAGTTTGAACGAGGCGGTGACTGCTCGGGCTCTTCCTGGCCACTTTGGCCGTCGTCTCGTGGACCGTCGGCCCGCGCCTGACCTGCAGCAAGGTATGGCGCACACGGTCTACGTTGACAACTTCATCGCCCTCTCCCACACGCTGAGCGAGGTACACGACGCGGCTGCTGTAGTGCAGAAGGAGCTGGCGGCTTCAAGCCTGCCCACTCACCCGGTGGAGGCATCAGTCGGCGGCGACACGCTGGGCTGGCACTTCGACGAGGACAAGCCCGTGATCGGTCTCAGCGTCCGCCTCCGCTGGCGGCTTCGCCTGGGTATCGGCGAGCTGCTGGAGCGAGGCTGGTGCAGTGGCCACACCATGATGAAGGTGATATCCCACTTCACGTCGAGGGCGCTGATTCGCCGCGAGCTGCTGAGCTGCCTGGGGGCCGTGTACGGCTTCATGGGGGACGGCGGCCGCGAGAGGCGGCGGCTGACTCCGGCAGTGAGGCGGGAGCTGACCTGGTGCCGCGCGCTGCTGCCCCTGTGCTTCCGAGACGCCGGGCGGCCGCTCTCGCCAGTCGTATTTTGCGTGGACGCATCGTGGTGGGGTGCAGGAGTGACTGAGAAGACCATCACCCCAGATCAAGCCCGTCGACTGTCTATCTTCAACGAGCGATGGAGGTTCAGTCGTGATGGAGAGCAGCAGGTCGCCTCGCGGGACAAGGCCTTGGCCCGGGAGAGCAAGCAAGCTGAGCATATCACCACATCATGCATCAGACACGCCTCGTCGCAGCACGATCGAGATCCAGCAGTCATAGCAGCAGCCATGGAGCAGCGAGTCCCTTTCCGAGTCGAGCCGAAGCTTAATCGTGAGGAGGAGGTCATGTTCGAGGAGGTGCCGGAGGTGGTTTGGGCGGAAGGATGGCATCGGGTTTTGGCTACACCATGGACCAGGAGGGAGGCGCAGGTGGTATTGGAGGGGAGAGCGCTAGTCCTATGCTTGAAGCACCGATTGCGAGCCGCTCGAAATTTCAACACCACGCACATCATCTTGAATGACTCCATGGCCCCAGTGTTGGCGTTGCTCAAAGGCAGATCATCGTCGCCACCACTTCTGCGGATTTGTCGCCAGGCCTGCGCCCTCCTGTTAGCCTCGGGGTCTTCGGCAGTCTGGCGTTGGGCCCCATCCGAGCACAACAGCGCTGACCCTGCCTCTCGTGCCCAGGCTGGTGATATCCCCGAAGCCGTGCGGGCCAAGGCATCAGGGCCTGCCGCGCCCGGTGCGCCCGCCCAGGCGGCAGCTCTCCGACGCGATGGCGGCGCCGCTGTCGATGTCGGCCCTCGGCTGCACGGCGATGCCATCTGCGCCGGCTCCGCGGTCTCGCAAGCGGCCAGCGGCTGCTGTGGCGGCTGCCGCTGCCAGCCAGTCGCGGCGCAGGCCGCGCGCGGCGTCAGAGACAGTGGCGCGCCCAGCCGAGAGCGACCGCCGGGCTGGTCGCCGGCAGGAGAGGGCGAACCGCTTCCCTGCACTCCCGCCCTCGGCCCCCCGCCGGGGCTTGACCTTCCCTGGAGGAGCAGTCAGTGGGGGATGCGACCAGGGCGGACTACGAGCGCCGGCAAGCCGCCTTCAGCCTGTGGGCCTGCCAGCGGGGCCACTCATTGGGGGCGCCGACGGAGGTGGACAGGGCACTGGTGCTGTTTTTTCACGAGGAGTTCTTGGACGGGGGCGAGAGCAGCGACGCCTGGAAGCTGATGGCGGCCCTCGCTTTCGTGCGCTCGGACCTCGGACCGCGCCAGGGCCGCCTGCCGCGGGCGGCGCGGGCAGCCAAGGGCTGGTCGCGCCTGGCACCGCCGCGGTCGCGCCTGCCGCTCCCTTGGCCCGTGGTGTGCCTCATCGTGGAGGTCCTGTGCCGCAGGGGCCTGGCCATGTATGCATGGCTGACCGCGCTCACGTTCGGCCTGTACTTGAGGCCGCGAGAGGCGCTGGAGCTCGTGCAGGCCCAGCTCATCCCACCAGGATTCACCTCAGCCACAACGATGCACCATTGGTGCGTGGTCCTCCATCTGTTCGAGAGGCAGACCCCGTCCAAGACAGGTGTGTTCGACGAGAGCTTGCTGGTGCACTCGACCTGCTTTCCGTGGATGCCGAACCTCGTCCAGGAGCTGCACCGCCGCGCGCCCGCAGGCCACCGCCTGTTCCCAGTCACCTACGCGCAGTGGAACTACCACTTCAAGGCCGCCGTCTCCGACCTCGGCCTGCAGGTCCTGGGCAACTTGACGCTGCACCAGCTGCGGCACGGCGGCGCGAGCCACGAGCTGTACGCGGCGGCGCGGCCCCTCCGCGACATCCAGAAGCGCGGCAGGTGGGCCGCCGATGCCGCGCTCCGACGCTACGCCAAGGGCGGCCGCGTGCAGGAGCAGCTGCACCGCCTCCCGCGCGCCCTGCAGCTCCAAGCCGAGCAGGCGTTCCGCGGGATTGGCGCCACCCTATCGGCGAGCTGGCCTCGTGGGTGAGGCGCGCCAAGGCCGGCGTCTTCCTGGAAGTCTTCAGCGGCTCTGGGCGGATGTCCGCGGCATGGCGCTTGCGCTTCCGGTCGCAGCATGCCGCTTTTGAGCTGGACATTCGCCGCGACACCGACAGCGACCTCCTCCGTAGGCGCATCAGACAGCTGGCGAGGGGCTGGGTGCGGAGTCGACTCATTGCCGCAATCTGGATTGCGACGCCCTGCCAGTCTATGAGCCGTGCCCGCAACCGGCCCAACGGGCCACCGCCCCTTCGGACGAAACAGTTCCCGCTGGGGTTGCCAGGCCTGTCGCCGGGAGACCAGCTCAAGGTTGAGAGAGGAAACACGCTTGCCACTTTTAGCTTCTCTCTCTTTTTGCTAGCGCGCAGTTTGAACATACCTGTTGTAATTGAGAACCCTAGCACCTCTTGGTTGTGGCAGCTCCCAGGTGCAATCCATCTCAGTCGAATTCGTAACACTCGCATTGTAGACTTTGATTTTTGTGCGTTCTCGACCGCGTGGCGGAAGCGCACTCGGCTCTTATATTGCCATCTCAACCTCGACCCTCTCGTACCGTGTAAATGTTCGGGTCGTGGTGTCTGCAGTTTCAGCCGCCGCCCCCATCAGATCCTCGAAGGCAAAGACGCCTCAGGCACCTTTTGGACGCACATTGCAGAACCGTATCCCAAAGACTTGTGTAGGCTGGTAGCTAAGTGTTTCCAACAGGCTTTGCGAAACCACTCGTTTCTTAGCCTGGACAGGTTTGTGTTGGCCTAAGGCCAGGGTTTCAAAATTCGGTGTTGCTCGAGTTTTTAGATTTCGGATCGTGATTGTCTCGGGACTCGTTTTCCTTGGTCGAGGTGCCTCGCCCAGCCAGTCAATGTCGCACGGAGCTCCGGGTCGAGTCATCACACAGAGTTGCAGATGCAAAACAGTTCTGGCCCCCGAGAGTCTCCCCGGCTTGCACAGATTGCAATGGCGTGCCATAGATTCTTTGCTGCCTGTGGCGAGCGGGAGGGGGCCGCGGCCACCCGTGCTCAAGCCTCCCACCCACGCTGCGCTCCCACCCATTTTCAGCTCGAGCAGTGTCCGTTGGATCGTGATTGTCTCGGGACTCGTTTTCCTTGGTCGAGGTGCCTCGCCCAGCCAGTCAATGTCGCACGGAGCTCCGGGTCGAGTCATCACGCAGAGTTGCAGATGCAAAACAGTTCTGGCCCCCGAGAGTCTCCCCGGCTTGCACAGATGTATGTATGTGTATATATGTATGTATGCATGCATGCATGCATGCATGCATGCATGCACGCACGCACGCACGCACGCACGCACGCACGCACGCACGCACGCACGCACGCACGCATGCATGTATGTATGTATATATGTATGTATGTATGTATGTATGCATGCATGCATGTATGTATGTATGTATGTATGTATGTATGTATGTGTGTATGCATGCATGCATACATGCATGTATGTATGTATGCATGTAGGCATGTATATGTATATGTATGTCCGTATGTATGTATGTCTGTATGTATGTATGTACGTATGTATGTATGTATGTATGCATGTATGCATGCGTGTATGCATGCATGCATGCATGTATGTAGGTATGCATGCATGCATGCATGCCTGCATGCCTGCATGTATATATGTGTGTATGTATGTATGTATGTATGTATGTATGCATGTATGTATGCATGCATGCATGTATGTATGTATGTATGTATATATGTATGTATGTATGTGTGTGTACACATATACATATATCCATATATTTCCATATATGCATACACATATATATTATTGTAAATATGTTTACACACGTACACACGTGCATATGCCCACACACATGCATATACATGTGTATGATATGCCGTTGTATTCGCAACTCGATGAACCGATTCCGTACGGATTCTGACGAAACCAGTTGAGGTTTGGGGGAAATTACTATCGGGGCGCGGCTTCTGTTCGGACGTGGATATTGTTGTGCTTATCGTTTTGGGCTCATAAGGGGAGCGGCAGACGACGCGACATCTGCCGCAGTTCGCGTGCCTGGTGGCCGTCTTGTCAGGATAGCCGAGGGCCCTCGCAGGCTTCGATAGGGGCGATTTGCCAGGGGTGCGGAGGGCGTATCGTGAATTGCATGCATTCGTTTTCGAGCGTCGTCGAGCAGGCGGCAACTGGAGCCCCAGGATACACGCAAACAGTGCTTCCCCCATGGGCTGTCTGCCCACGTCGCGCACACCGAGGAAAATGTCACCTCCACCGCGTCGCGTGCAACTCGCGGCGCTCCCCGCGCCGCCGCCGAGGCAGCCTTCGTTTGCGTGGATCATGCTGTCCAGGTGGCGATCTGACCTTTGCGTGAGGGGCGGGCGCGCGAGATCTGGTTGTAGATCGGGGCCGTCCTGGATGGCGAACGATGGGCGACGCAGGCGCTCAGGTCCTGTTGGGTGAGCTGGAGGGTAGGATGGTGATGATGGTGATGGTGATGATGATGAGGATGGTGATGATGCAGATGATGATACTGATTCTGACGATGCTGATCAGGATGATGATACTAATGCTGATGATGCTGATGATGATGATTATGGTCGTGGTGATGATGACGACGATGATGATGATGGTGATGACGACGAGGAGGATGAAGATGAGGATGAGGATGAGCATGCTGGTGATGATAATGATGACGACGATGGTAAGGCTGCTGATGTTGCTGCTGATGATGATGATGATCATGTTGTTGCTGCTGCTAATGGTGATGGTGGTGATGATGATGCTGATGGTGAGGATGCTGATTATGATAATGATGCTGATGCTGATGATGCTGCTGATGCTCATGATGACGTTGATGATGATGCTGCTGATGCCGATGATGCTGCTGATGATGATGAGGCTGCCGATGATGATGATGATGATGATGATGATGATGCTGATGATGATGATGATGATGATGATGATGCTGCTGATGATGATGATGATGATGATGATGATGACTATGAGGATGGCGATGACGATGATGATGACTCGTTTTTTTCATGATCATGATGCTGGTAATGCTGACGACGACGATGATGATGATGAGGCTGATGTTGCTGATGGTGATGATGCTGCTGCTGATGATGATGATTCTGATGCTGATGACTATGAGGTCGACGACGTTGATGACGATGACGATGCTGCTGACGATGATGATACTGATGACAATGCTGCTGATGATGATGCTGCTGATTATGATGATGAGTAGGAGGATGATGATGACGCTGATGTTGATTATGCTGATATTGATACTGGTGATGATGGTGATGATGATGGTGATGGTGATGATGCTAGTGATGGTGATGATGATGATGATGCTGCTGCTGATGCTGCTGATGATGCTTATGCTGATGATGACGATGATGCTGCTGCTGATGCTGATTATGACAATGATGATGATGCTGATGATGATGATGATGATGAGGATGATGATGATGATGATGCTGCTGATGATGATGATGATGATGATGCTGATGATGCTGATGATGATGATGATGATGATGATGATGATGATGATGATGATGACGACGCTGACGAGGATGCTGCTGATGATGCTGGTGATGATTTTGTTGTTGACGGTGATGATGATGGTGGTGAGGCTGAGGATGACGCTGATGATGATGAGGATGAGGATATTGATGTCGATGATGAGGAGTCGGAGGATTCATTTTTCATGAGTAAGGATTGATGAGCCCCCATCAGTGCGCGTACTGTTTTTTTGTCGAATGACGTTCTCCTCCCAGGGCTCGCACCCTGCTTTCTACCTGGGGAAGTGTTCATGTTCAAACTGAACGGTTGCCCCTCCCCGCTACAACAGCAACGGTTCCCGCCTGATGCTTTCCTCACAAAGTATTCCAATCTCGCGCTCTCGTGAGGGACTTCCTCACAGTTTATGCAGGAACCGCGCTCTCGCGTGGGACTTCCTCGCAGTTTCTCCAGACGCCGCGCCCTCGACACTCAGGAATCATGCTCTCGCTTTGGCCTCTCTCGCGATTTTCTTCGGTATCGGGCCATCGCTCGAGACCTGCCCGCGATTCATGCAGGATCATGCTTCAGCAACCCGCCTGCTCGACCTGGCCGCCTGGGCCCGCCTTCCCGACTCGTCCGCTAGGGTATGCCCGCCCGATCTGCCCGTCTGGTTCTGCCACGTGTTTTCGGCTCCTAGCCCCCCTGCTGCTAATTTCCCTCATGCTCCATTCTTTTCCCTCCCCCTTCCATCCGTCCTCTCTTCCCCTGTTTGAGGGGCCGCGCTACATGCACGTGGTAGGTAAGAGTGATATACCCCCACGGGGGTACCGAGAGCTTGGGATATTATACGTGTTGACTGGCACGCGAGCCGGTGTGCGCGAACAGTATTGACATGATGATTGTTGTTGATGATGATGGTGATGATATTGATGACGATGAGGGGGGAGGAGGAGGAGGAGGAGGAGGAGGAGGAGGAGGAGGAGGAGGAGGAGGAGGAGGGGGAGGAGGGGGAGGAGGAGGAACAGGAGGAGACGTAGATGCGTGATGCGGAGGAGGGGAAAGATGAGGAGGATGAGGTGTCAATTGTAATGAGAAGAAGGGACCACAGCAGGAAGCAAGAGGCGGATCGTGTGCAGTTGTGTCAGTGATGAGAGTCAAGAGCATGATGGGGGAGGCTTAGCCGGATCGTTTGTAGGCGCGGAAGCAGGAGCAAAGGGAACAACAGGAGCAGCAGTTGGAGCAACATAAGCTGGATCATCAAGAGGTGGATGAGGAGGATGAGCCGCAGGAGCAGGCGGAGCCGAAGGAGCTTCAGGCGTTGAAGGGGTGGAGACATGGAGTATAACATGGAGGCGTGAAAGGATGGGCGAAGTTTGAGGGCGGAGCGAGATGGTCAGCAGATATTTGAAGGAGGGGGAGGAGAGAAGGAAGGACTAGGAGAAGGAATGAGAAGAAGGATAAGGAGGCAGGATGAGCTGTAGCAGAACGAGGGGGACGATGAGGAGGAGCAGCAGCGTGAAGGGATTCTGATGGAAGCGAGAGAAAGGATAAGAGGGGAGATGAGGGGAGATGAGGGGCGATGACGATGATGATGATGCTGATGATGCTGACGATGATGCTGCTGCTGATGGTGATTCTAATGCTGATGACGACTAGGCCGACGACGATGTTGATGATGATGATGGTGATGCTGATGAACATTTTTATGATCGTGATGATGCTGATACCTATGACGATTATGTTACTGATGCTGATGGTGATTATGATGATGCTGATGAAGATGCTGATGATGATGCTAGCCATGATGCTGATGCTGCTGCTGCTGCTGGTGGTGGTGATGATGATGATGATGATGGTAATGATGGTGATGATGATGATGATGATGATGATGATGATGATGATGACGATGACGATGCTGATGATGGTGCTGATGATGATGGTGATGGTGACGATGTTGATGTTGAGGATGATGAACATGATGAAGGTAAGGATTAATACAATGATGCTTATCATGGATATGATGATGATGATGACGATGATGATGATGATGATGGTGATGATGGTGTTGATGATGATGCTGATGATGATGCTGATGCTGATGCTGATGATGATGATTATGGTGGTGATGCTGATGATGAGGATGATGATGATGATGATGATGATGCTGATGATGATGATGATGATGATGATGAGCAGAAGGAGGGTCGATGATGGAGGCAAGGTGCGCGATAACGAGGAGAGAATGAGTGGATTTGATGATGTGCGATGATGCTTCTGACGAGGATTCGGATCACGACGGCACTTCTGCTGCTGCTGATGATGCGTCTTCAGATGGTGATTATTCTGATGATGTCGATCCTGATGATGATGATGCTGATGCTGATGATGATGATGATGATGATGATGATGATGATGATGATGCTGACGATGATGCTGATGATGATCATGATGACGACGACTCCGGCGAAGACGATTAAGATGCCGATGCCGATGATGATGCACATGATGATGATGATGGTGATGGTGAGGATGATGGTGGTAATGATGATGATGATGATGATGAGGATGCTGAGGATGAGGAGGATGATGATGACGACGATGATACTGATGATGCTGATGATGATGATGATTCTGATGCTACTGCTGATCATGATGATTATGATAGTGATAATGGTGACTGCGCTGGTAATGATGATGCTGATGATGATGATGATGACGCTGCTGCTGATGATGGTGACATTGAATATGTTGATGCTGTTGTCGTTGTTGGTGTTGATGGGGATGATGAGTATGAGTATGATCATGATTCTGATGCTGATGGTGATGATGATTATGATCACGATGATGGTGATGATGATGCTGCTGAGGATGGGGGTGAGGGTGCGGACGACGACGATGACGATGATGACGAGTACGATGCTGCTGCTGATGATGGATGATGATGATGCTGATGATGATGCTGATGCTGATGATGTAGATTATGATGCTGATGATGATGATGATGATGATGATGATGATGATGATGATGATGGTGACGATGCCGATGTTGATGATGATGCTGATGCTGCTGGTGGTGGTGATGATGATGATGATAGTGCTGCTGCTGATGATGCGTCTTCAGATGGTGATTATTCTGATGATGCCGATCCTGATGATGATGCTGATGATGATGATGACGATGGTGATGATGGTGATGATGACGATGCCGACGACGATAATGACGGCGATGGCGATTGCGACGATGAGAAATGAAGGTGACGACGATGATGGCAGGATGAGGTGGAAGGAAACGACAGGTGGATGAGCATGCCGAGGAGGGGACCAGGAGGGATGGAGCAGGGAGGCAGAAGGAGGAGAGGGGGGGGAGGAGGGAGGAAGAAGAACAGGACATGTGGAGGAGGAGGACGCCTCCTGCATCCGCGGGCGTCCCTGTCGGCGGCCGTCGTCGAGCCCCTTTCGCCGCCGGCCGTTTGCCATCCGGGCCGCCCTGGCCGAATGCGGAGCGTGACCGCCCCGGCTGGAGGATCTGGAGGAGGGCGGAGGGAGGGGAGATGGGGCGAGGAGGGACGGAGGGGGGGATGGAGGGATGGGGTAGGGTGGTGAGGGAGAGGGGATGGAGAAGGATGATGAGAGCGATGGGGAGAAGGGATGAGGACGAGGGTGTGGGGTCTTCTTTTCGTCCCGATCGGCTTGTTTTTCAGGCATCCCTCGGGGGGGGGCTTTGTCGCCACGGCTGGATCTGCCTCGAACTTCTGGTCGGATCGCACTCCAGGAGAGGTCGTGGGGTCGACCTTTGGGCGGAGGAGGGTAGAGGAGGGGAGAAGGAGGGAGGAAGGAGGAGGGAGCAGGGAGAACCGAGGGATCATGATTATGATAATAATGATAATGATAATGATAATGATAATGATGATGATGATGATGATGATGAT